CCCTCCTCCTCCCCGCCTCCTCCCTCCTCTCCTGCTCCTCCCTCCTCATTCCTCCTCCTCCTCCTCCTCCTCCTCCTCCGCCTCCTCCGCCTCCTCCTCCTCCTCTTCCTCCTCCTCCTCCTCCTCCTCCTCCTCTCCTCGCTCGGATCATCTCACGCCTGCTGGCTTGCAGGTCATAGCTCGGACCCTCCCGGACGGAGATGGGCTCGGGGGGCCGACGCCTCGACCCCGATCGCCCACGGGTCGCCGACGGGTGCCCGGCCCACTCCGCCCAGGAGCGCGCCTTTTCGCCATCGGGGGCCTATCGCAGATTCATCGGCGATGGAGGAGGAAGAAGAGGAGGATGAGGAGGATGAGGAGGATGAGGAGGAGGAGGAGGAGGAGGAGGAGGGACGAGGGAGGAGACGAGGAGGAGGAGGAGAAGGGGGAGGAGGAGGGGGAGCAGGAAGAGACGCACGATGACGTTTTCCCCCCTGTGCCAGTCCACTGGTGATTTTCGGGTCATAACTCCGGCCTCTGGGCCTCTGGCGGCGGTCCGGGACGATCTGGGGTGCACCCCCGGAAAGCTCTCGGCGAGGCGCAGCTGCTGGAGAGCATCCCGAGGCTGGAAAGCCCCGAGAAACAAAGAAGACGCCCGAAAACCTCGAACCTCAAGCCTTCCTTGCCAGCTCGCCCTCCTCTGACCCTCCCCCTGTTTCGGCGGCGCGCCCCGGAGGAAGTGCGAAGGGGCGGGCCTTCTCAGAAGGCTCGGAAGCTCCCTAGCCTTCCCCGGAGACGCAGAACACTTGCCAGAGGGCGCGAGGTCCTCTGAGAAGCCCCGCCCCCTCCTGAGAAGGCCTCCTCCTTCTCACTTCCCCCCTCGCTCGCCTTAAGCGCGTTTCTCTATTTTCGCCGATGACGGGCGTCATGGTTTGGGGGGGAGGGAGGCGGAGGGGGGTATGACGCAACGCCCCCCCACCCCCTCCGCCGCGTGGCCCCAGCACCACAGCCGCGCCCGCGCGCGCGACGACGACGAGCGACGAGCGACGAGCGACGACGACGACGACGACAACGCTCCTTCAACCCTTGGACCCCCCCCCTGACTCGGGATCCGCCCTACTTTGGGGAAATTCGTAAGTAGGGCTTGGAATTTCCGCCTTACTTTTCAAGCCCCGCTAGTGCCAATTTCCGCCCTACTTTTCTGTTGCTGTTTCCGCCCTACTCTTGTGGATTTCCGCTCTACCTCATGCTGGGTGCAGACATTTCCGCCCCACTTTTTCGGCTTCGTATCGGTGGATTTCCGACGCAATCTTAAGTGGGAAAGAAAAAAGCCAAAGTAGGGCGGATCTGGAGTCAGGGCCCCCCCTGGAAGCGCTGCTCGCGGGCGAGGCCGCGCGCTCCGCCGAGCCACGCCTTCCCCGGCGCCACTCCGTTAGCCGGGCGCGCCCCCCCGCGCCCGCCGCCACCCCCCCCCGGCGGGCCGGCGCGGCCGACAGCCGCACCGCGCACACGGGCGCGGGGAGGCGGGCGCCAAGCGGGCGAGGGAGAGAAAGATAGGCAGCGACGGCGAGGACGACGAGGTCGACGAGGACGAGGACGGGGACGAGGACGAGGGCGAGGACGAGGACGAGGACGACGCGACGACGAGGACGAGGACGAGGACGATGACGACGGCGGCGGCGGCGGCGGCGGCGGCAGCGGCGGCGGCGGCAACGACGACAACGCACACGTCAGCAGCGGTGCCGGCGGCGGTGACGAAGACGTCGACCACCACCAACACTACCTCGACGACGACGACGACGACGACGACGACGACGACGAAGGATCGGGGTCGCGAGGGCGGAGGAGGAGGAGGAGGAGGAGGAGGAGGAAAAGGAGGGGAAGGAGGAGGAGAAAGAGCAGCATGAGCAACAGCAGGAAGACTGGAGCAGGAGGAGGTTTAAGAGCAGCAGCAGCAGCATCCGAAGGAGGAGTCGGCGGAGGCGGAGAGCGCACGGCGGAGAGAGAGGAGGCACCGCGACGCCAGCGCGAGGACCCAGACAAACTCCTCCTCCTCCTCCTCTTCCTCCTCCTCCTCCTCCTCCTCTTCCTCCTCCTCCTCCTCCTCCTTCTCCCCCTCCTCCTCCTCCTCCTCTCCAAATTTAAAGCCGCAGCTGACAACGGCAAAACCGCGGGCCCAAAACCCATGAGCGGGGCCATCGTGGTTTGTCGGTCGTGTCCCCATAAAGCAGATACCAGAAAACGTACAACCACGCCCCAAAAAACATGATCGACCCACGAACCCGGAAAGGAATAGAGAAATGTAACGCATGGCAGCGTTTTCAAAGACACCTGATTGGGTGACGGGCAAGTGCAATGCTGATTGTATCGATCTTGATGTACCGTGCCGAGGGCTGTGCTGTGCTGCACCGTGCTGAATTGCGATGTGCCATGCCGCGGTGGTGCTCTATAGCGTCGTGGATCGAATCTTCCGTTGCATCCGAGTCCTGACCGAACTGATCTGGATCTTAAGCTCGGGCTGCCTGAACACATAGTAGCTGCCCAAGAGCTAATTGACAGGGGGACATGCCAGGAGGACGTGCCGCGAAACGTCCCAAGGGACGCGCCAGGCGACGTGCCAGGGAACGTGCCATGGGGTCGCACCGTAGGACGTGCCAAGGGGACGCGCTATGGACCGTGCCAATGGATGTGCCACGCGACGTGCCAGGGGGACTCGCCAAGGGACGCCCCACGGAACGTGCCAAGGAACGTGCCAAATTGCAATGCTGATTGTATCGATCTTGATGTACCGTGCCGAGGGCTGTGCTGTGCTGCACCGTGCTGAATTGCGATGTGCCATGCCGCGGTTGTGCTCTACAGCGTCGTGGATCGAGTCTTCCTTTGCATCCGAGTCCTGACCGAACTGATCTGGATCTTAAGCTCGAGCTGCCTGAACACATAGTAGCTGCCCAAGAGCTAATTGACAGGGGAACATTCCAGGAGGACGCGCCGCGAAACGTCCCAAGGGATGGCGCCAGGCGGCGTGCCAGGGGACGTGCCATGGGGTCGCACCGAGGGACGTGCCAAGGGGACGCGCTACGGAACGTGCCAATGGATGTGCCACGGGATGTGCCAGGGGACGCGCCACGCGACGTGCCAGGGGGACTCGCCAAGGGACGCCCCACGGAACGTGCCAAGGAACGTGCCAAGTTGCAATGCTGATTGTATCGATCTTGATGTACCGTGCCGAAGTCTGTGCTGTGCTGCACCGTGCTGAATTGCGATGTGTCATGCCGCGGTTGTGCTCTATAGCGTCGTGAATCGAGTCCTCCTTTGCATCCGAGTCCTGACCGAACTGATCTGGATCTTAAGCTCGAGCTGCCTGAACACATAGTATCTGCCGCAGAGCTAATTGACAGGGGGACATGCCAGGAGGACGCGCCGCGGAACGTCTCAAGGGACGCGCCAGGCGACATGCCAGGGGACGTGCCATGGAGACGCACCGCGGGACGTGCCAAGGGGACGCGCTACGGAACGTGCTGGGGACAAGCGTTTCGCTCGAGACATCCTGTCAAAATCCTCATTCTAGACATCCGCCTGAGCGACCTGGACACGTGAAAACATACGTTTCGCTCAACACATCCCCAACACATTATCATGCTAGACATCCGCCTGGGCGAACTGGACACGTGAAAACAAGTAGTTCGCTCGAGACATCCTCAACACATCTTCATGTGAGACGTCCGCCTGGGTGACCTGGGCACGTGAAAACAAGCGTTTCGCTCGAGACGTTTTCAACACCTCCTCATTCTAGACATCCGCCTTGGCGACCTGTACACGTGAAAGCAAACGTCTCGCTCGAGACATCCTCAACATATCTTCATCTTAGACATCCGCCTGGGCGACCTGAACACGTGAAAACAAGCGTATCTCTCGAGACATTCTCAACACATCCTCATGCTAGGCATCCGCCTGGGCAACCTGGACACGTGCAAACAAGCATCTCGATCGAGACTTCCTCAACACCTCCTCATTCTAGACATCCGCCTAGGCGACGAGGACGCGTGAAACCAAGCGTCTCGCTCAAGACATTCTCAACAAATCCTGGCGCTTGACCTCTGCCTGGGCAACCTGGAGGCGTGAAACCAAGCGTCTCGCTCGAGACATCCTCAAGATCTGGGCACGTGAATCCAAGCATTTCACTTGAGAGATCCTCTAAATTCTGGTCCCCAGGAAAGGACAATCCATAACACAAAACAAGCGTTTCGCTCGAGACATCCTCAACAAATTATGAAAAACAAGCGTTTCGCTAGGGGCATCCTCAACAATAATTCCGCCGGCCCACCTCGACCTCGATATTCATCAGGGAATAATTCCGCTGGCCGCACCCCGATCGGCAGGACTGGGCAACGTACCACCAACGCAACCACACAAGGGAAATACATGCTGGGACCCCTTGGGCGGACCCCTATGGGCAACCGCCGACGCCACCACATAAGAAGTTCCGCTTGGTGTACGGATGATTCGCGCTCGTTTCACAGGCGACTGGCAAGACCATCATTGTTTGGGATTGATGGTTTGGGGCCAAGACCGCCCTAACCGACATCATCTTGCATTGTGGGGTTTACCCCTCCACCTATCCACCCCCCAAGGGTCTGGACAGGGGCTGCCACGGATTGACGGAGCGTCCAGGATGGGCGTCGGTGGCTCCAAGATGACACCAGACTTCCCAGATTGCCCCCCAAATGGCGCGAGATGGCCCAAACTGGGTCAAGACTGCCTGCAGGATGCCTCCAAGCGGAGGAGGAGTTTGAGGAGGAGGAGGAGAAGGAGGAGGAGGGGCAGCAGGAGGAGGAGGAGGAGGAGGAGGAGGAGGAGGAGGAGGAGGAGGGGGAGGCGGAGGGGGAGGAGGAGGAGGAGGAGGAGGAGGAGGAGGAGGAGGAGGAGGAGGAGGAGGAGGAGGAGGAGGAGGAGGAGGAGGAGGAGGATGCAGGAGGAGGAGTAGGAGGAGGAGGACGGACGACGACGACGGGCGAGAGCCGGCAACAGACAGCAGCAGGATGCACAGCAGCAGCGGGCCGGCGAGAGGAACGCTCACCGGCAGCCGCGATCTATTGGCCTAGGCTAATCCGCGCCCCCCTTACGCGCCTTTGCCCTTGGCCATCCCGGCGGCTCCGTCGATTCTCCCCTTTCCTGCGAGGGCGCCTAACCATGAGCACACTGTGCCAGACCCCTCCCAGGACCACCTCATGGCACCAGCTCGATGGTGGAGTAGGGCGCTGTCCCCTACAGGGGGACTTTTGACGGAAGAATAAAAATGATACTCCAAAACACTTAAAAATCATCAAACACAGTCAGACAATCCTCCCCAGACTCCCCAGAATTTTTTTTACTGCCTTTCTTGAATACTCCTTCCTGCAGAGGGACAGGCCCACTTGAGTCCTGGCCTGGCAGGGCTTGCGGCGGGTCTGGCGGCGCGCACAACGGGGTGGAGGGAGGGGGGAGGGCTTCTTAGAAGGAGGCTGCTTCTTAGAAGGCGCCGGCCTTACATCTATAGATAAGGCCCGCGCCTTCTGAGAAGCAGGGGTGCTTCTAAGAAGCCCTCCCCCCTCCCCCCTCCCCCCTCTGCGCGTGGCTGGAGAGGGACGGGCCCGACTTGAGCGCATGGCCTGGCCGGGGCTGCGCCGGGCCTTGGCCCGGCCAGGGCCGGCAGAGGTGCGCACGCGGCGCCCCCTGGTCTCCAAGGGCATCGCCAGGGGGCAGGTCGGGCATGTCGCTCCCCTACAGGAGGATTGTGAACGGAAAATAAAAAATAAGTCTACCCAGGGATGGTTTTGAGGGCATTTTTTCGACACCCCTCACGAGGATCGTGGCCTCCGAGGGGGGCGCACTCGACTACCCCGCCCCAAGAGACCCCCAAGAGGCCCCCAAGAGGCCCCCAAGAGACTTCAAAGAGGCCCCATAGAGCGCTCGAGGGCCGGCGGAATGAGCGAAGCGATTAAGTAAGGAATATAAGCAAAACTGAAACTAGCCCACAAAATATGCAAACAATCGTCCCCAGACTGTTTTGGATTATTTTTGAACATTCCTCCTGCAGAGGGGCAGGCCCGATCTAACGCCAGGGGGGGAAGCGGGGGGCCGGCGCCTGGAGGGGAACAGCGAGCCCAGACCGGCGACACGCAGCCGATCAACTGTAACATCGGCAAGCGCTAGCTGCCCCGATACGCAACACGCAGCACGCAGCGTGTTAGCACGGAGCTGGACACGTAGACTGAAGACGTAGGTTCGGCGCGAAGCGTTTGCCAGAACATGGACCAACAGGTTGAGCCAATACGCAACGCATTGACACGGACGTTTTGAGCACGGCAAGTGCTGCGTCCCAAAACCGGCGCATCGAGGCAGCTAAGATCGGCAACGGGCCCCGGATAGCGAAACCGCACGTAGCTGGGCGGGGTGGATGCATGGGCGATTGGGAGTCGACTCCTAGGGGGCCACATGCGAACCCTACCCCTACCCCCCACGATTTTTGAGGGAGAGGGTGGGTTTCACTTCGCTCGTGACCTCCCGAACGAAGTGAACCCCACCCTCCCCCCCAGAAATCGTGGGGGGTAGGGGTAGGGTTCGCATGTGGCCCCCTAACTCCCCCCCTAGCCTGTGCCCCCCAATGATCCTCGTCGTCCAATTTTCGGGTCGCGACTCGGGACTCCGCCGGCCGTTCGGGACGATCCAAGTTGAAGGGGCCCTGGGACACACAAATATGTACACTAGAACCACGCGCGCGCTTCGCGCGCGCTGAGGTTCTAGCGAACCGAGGGGCAGGATAAGCAGAAACCAGATGATCGGCATTTGAGTTTGGATCTGGATTTGAGTTGGGATCTTGGATCTGGAGTGGGTCTTGAATGTGGGGAAAGATTTTGTACTGAACGTTTCCGGAGCAGACAATGTCGATCGCCGTGTCGGTGTTCATTGCTGCGATGGCCGTGTGATTGTTAACTGCTGTGATGGCTGTGTGGTGTTTCACTCCTTCGATGGCCGTGTAGCATTTGCACAGCTCGCGTGGCTGTGTGGTTTTCACTGCTGCGATGGCCGTGTGTGTTTTTTAGGTCTGTGAGACCGCAGACAAAGTTAATGAAGCAACGTGTCGTCGTTGCCATGCTCTTTACAGACTCCGCACGGGTGGTACGTTTTGGGAAGTTTTTTCCGGCAGGACGGCACAAGGCACACATGCGAACGGCATTTTTCGCACATGCCACCGTTGCCAGGAACAGACCGTCGGCATCCAAAGGCTTTCGGATTCCGGTAGCCCTGGGCGGCCGGTCCACAGCAAGGAGGCCCCATTGCGCGACATCTCTTGCACTCCAATGATCCGCATGGTGCTGGAATGCCAACGCGAAACCCGCACCCGAAGCTGTGGAAGGCGCAGGGTGGGCCTCTTCGACGACATTGTTGACACAGGTCGTCATCCTCGTCGATGGTGCTTGACGCGCATCCGCGAGAGGCACAACGGCACCTCGCTGCGGAGAGGGGCTCTGCTCTCGCGGGGGCGGTGGGCGGTGCTCGAGCGCATTTGTTGCAGAGTCCTTGGCTTGTGGGGGAGCTTCTCCCTTGACAGCCCGGCGTGGAACAGGGCAGATTGTGGGCCAAGCACAGGCAACATTTCTCGTCCCCCGGATCGTGGCACACGTTGGCGCACTTGATGGTACTGCATAAATAACGCAGCGGAGGCGGTTTGCAGGAGAAGCGCAAGCGGCCCCTAAGAGCTTCCCAAGAGGCCCACAAACTACCCCCAAGAGGCCCCCAAGAGCGCTCGTCGTCGTCGTCGTCGTCGTCGTCGTCGTCGTCGTCGTCGTCGCCATTCAGGGTCGGCGGCACCGGCCGTAAGGCCTTCGCAATAAAGCAGCGGAGGCGGTTTGCAGGAGAAGCGCAGTGGTCCGTGCACGCGGTGCGCTCTCAGTTTACACAAAGGAGAGGCGCAGGACAGCAGGCCAGCGTCGCAGGAGACGCGCCGTCGGGGAGGAGATATATAGTTGAGTCGTCGAGGACCATGTGGCATCCTCTCGTAGATACGAGACCCATGTTGCAGCACAGCAGCACGTCGGCCTCTGACTTTCGTCCTGGGCTCGGTTTAGTGAAGTGATGAATTTCGGTGTCCTTACGTGGGAACATGATCGACCCACGAACCCGGAAAGGAATATAGAAGTATAAGGCATGGCAACGTTTCAAAGACACTTGATTGGGCGACGGGCAAATGCAGTGCTGTATGTACAGATCTTGATGTACTGTGCCGAGGGCTGTGCTGTGCTGGCCGTGCTGAACTGCGATGTGCCATGCCGCGATTGTGCTCTATATAGCGCTGTGGATCGAGTCCTCCCTGGCATCCGATTCCTGACCGAACTGATCTGGATCTTAAGCTCGAGCTGCCTGAGCAGATGGTAGCTGTCCCAGAACTAATCGACAGAGGGGACATGCCAGGAGGACGCGCCGCGGAACGTCCCAAGGGGACGCGCTACGGAACGTGCCAATGGACGTGCCGCGGGACGTGCCAGGGGACGCGCCGCGCGACGTGCCAGGTGGATTCGCCAAGGAACGCGCCAAAGAACGTGCCAAGGTGCAATGTTGACTGTATCGATCTTGATGTACCGTGCCGACGGCTGCGCTGTGCTGGCCGTGCTGAACTGCGATGTGACATGCCACGATTGTGCTCTATATAGCGTTGTGGATCGAGTCCTCCCTGGCATCCGATTCCTGACCGAACTGATCTGGATCTTAAGCTCGAGCTGCCTGAGCAGATGGTAGCTGCCCCATAACTAATCGACAGGGGGACATGCCAGGAGGACGCGCCGCGGAACGTCCCACGGAACGCGCCAGGCGGCGTGCCAGGAGACGTGCCATGGGCACGCACCGCGGGACGTGCCAAGGCGACGCGGTACGGAACGTGCCAATCGACGTGCACCGCGCGACGTGCCAGGGGGACTCGCCACGGGACGCTCCGCGGAACGTGCCAGGCAACATGCCAAGCTGCAATGCTCAAGGTATCGATATTGATGTACCGTGCCGAGGGCTGTGCTGTGCCTGGGCGACCTGGACACGTGAAAACACGCGTTTCGCTCAAGACGTTCTCAGCACATCCTCATGCTAGACATCCGCCTGGGCAACCTGGACACGTGCAAACAAGCGTCTCGATCGAGACTTCCTCGACACATCCTCATGCTAGACATCCGCCTGGGCGACCTGGACACGTGAAAACAAGCCTCTGGTTCGAAATCCTCAACAAATCCTCATGCTAGACATCTGTCTGGGCAACCTGGAGGCGTGAAACCAAGCGTCTCGCTCGAGACATCCTCAAGACCTGGGCACGTGAAAACAAGCATTTCACTTGAGAGATCCTCTGAATTCAAGCCCCCAGGAGAGGACAATATTTAACACAAAACAAGCGTTTCGCTCGAGACATCCTCAACAAATTCTGAAAAACAAGCGCTTCGCTAGGGACATCCTCAAATTTTAATTCGCCGGCCCTACGCGACCTCGTCATTTATCGCAGAATAATTTCGCCGGCCCAAGTCGCAGGGGGGCCGGGGGGTTAATCTACTAAAAGAGAACCCTGGGCCCGCGCCCTTTCCAGGAAAAAACATCACTTCACTAATCTGGGGCCCCTGGGGCCTCAGTGGGCCCTGGGGCCCCAAATTAGTGACGTGATGGTTTTCGGGCTTCGGAGTAGAGCAGGTGGCAGCGCGCGTGTCTAGCTGGTCAGACTTGGCTTCGCCGATGCTGGAGGCAGAGCGCGGACGCACTGGGGCACACAAATCGCACAGCCGAGGCGATGTTGCCGACCCCCTGCGTCGAAGGCACACAACGCAGGGTAGGCTTCCAGAAGCACATATGGTACAACGTGTCTGGGATGCTGTGGCGTTGCGTTTGAGGCCGCACCCGGTGGAAGAGCAATGGAGGAGAGACCGTGGGTTATACGGGCAATTGTGTTTGTTGTCTGTACGGCAGGCTGGGGGAGGACCGGAACATTGAGATGGCGTCACGCGGAGAACAGCAAGACAGCCCAGTAGCGCGTATCTGTATGGCAGGCTACCGCTAACGCACGCGAAGCATTTGCCAGCCGTGCGTTTAGTGACTAAGTTTCTGCATCCTATCCGAGAGTTTGTGCACATTGCCCATTCTCTTTCAACGTTGT